ATTCTAAACTAACACAAGTCTCATTAAGTGTCAAGTTTAAGGGTATTACACAGAAACACACCACAGGAACATGAATGAAATGTGTACTTTATTCATTTACAATAAATTCATAATATACATAATTCTGATTGAAGCTAAGGGCATACAACTGTCTAAGACATGGAAATACTTTTTTTTTCAAAATTTAGTTTGAGAGTTAAAAAATAATTTTTTTATTGAAAAATGGCATATCGGGACTCAAAAGATATAATACGATACCTAATACAGAATATATTGTATCGAAATTTTGAACCTTACCCCCAAGGCCTCAACCTGGTTAGACTATCTTCTATTACTATGCTGTTAGCTGACTTGGGAATCTGAATGGATGAGATAGCCAATGCTTCTCTTGTTTGACATTTTTAGCCCCAAGATCCTTGAGCCTTGTAGAAACCATCTAGTATGTATTTGGTTCCGTTTATGTTTATTGAATAAACGTTTGTACTTTATTTGTTAGTAAAACCAAAAAATGCAATAATTGCAACCATTTATGACAAATAGGTGCCATTAGGCACCACTAAGCGCCACATCAGCGTAACAATGAATAAACGCCTAGCTGTTTGTGGAAGCTTTAAAAAATAACTTCCACAAATGCCTGACATGCACAAAAACCAAAATTCACTTTTTATATTTTCGATGCATGCAAAAAAACAAGAGAGAGAAAATACTGAAATGGCACCTATGTGGCATAAACATTTACTGAATAAACGTAAACGAAACCAAACACCCTCCTAAGCCACTTCAGTCTCTCCCCCATGTAAATCTTATTCCAGAATAAAAGGGCTAACGTTTCTGCCATTGGAGAGCTAAAATTCCAGCTTGACCCAAATAGCTAATTAAACAATATATTGTCATTGATATCTGTGAAAACTCTTATTCCTGAATCCTGATCGGCCTGGGTTTCCAAGAGAGCTGCGATGAATATTCAGCTTAACGTCTCCTTGTTCAGGTACTACCCATAGCATGGAATTGATCAGTCTTATAGATGCTGCAGCTGGTTCTTTCCATTTAGCTGACTGTGTAGTTGGCAATCTGGCAAAACCATAAGACTGTTGGGTTTAGTATGTTATGAATATGCTGAAAGGCATAATAAAACATTTTTTTGGAGCCAAGGGCACCATAAGAAATAATAATTTTTCGTGTTATTGTGGACACTAGGCTATTTCAAGAGTTGCAAGTGTTCTTCAAACACTAAGTAGGTGTTTGGCATTGATGCCGTTTTCTGAGAAAATGGTGCCACGTAGGTATCACATCAGAGAAAGTGGTGCTTCAAATAATACCTTTTTGTTTGGTACTGTTTTTTTAAAAAAAATGTTACTCCAAATCATGCCTTAGAAATCAGGAAAGTGTGGTCTGGAGCAACGCCAAATTCAATATTTTRTAAGAAAATGGCACATTATTGCCAGCAGTACAATGATGTGGCATAATCTTGAACATTGCATAATAAAGATCGGCACTGATATCAAACAAAACCAGTGCTGTTTTCTCAGAGAAAACAGTGCGATGTTACACCTAAGATTTTTTTTTTTTTTTTTTATTTTGAACCATAATTTTTTTCTGATAGTTTATTTCTTTTATATTAAATATAACAATTTGATGGGGATGAAATTTACTAGAACTTAGCCACTATTGTTGGCTTCATGTAGACTTGTAGTAGGCTCCATGTAGCTCCATCAAAGAAATGATAAGATTCCAATCTCAAATAATATATGCACCTGGCAAATCCAACTCTTGTAGGTAGGGTTTGATATTGGGCCAATCAAGATATATTGCGTCAGACTAAGAGGACCATCAATTTTCTGCTACAGCCTACAAGTAGACAGAATTAGACGTGAGGTATGTCATCCACAACCATACTTCCACCACTTGATTGATTTTGAGCAATGAAATCAATTTAACCTCTTTCAAGAGGTGCAGCTCAAAAAGTCACACTAGAAGGCTTGATCTGGTAAATTCGTGGCGTGGAGTCCTTTGATTGATGATAGGTGAAAGATTTGATCTTTAGTGCAGTAATTTAAGTGACAAATAATATATCCGCCAAACAGAAATATCTCCTTGGACTTGTCAAAATATGTTTCTGGGTTTCTTCTCTGTATTCTGCCATGCAAATGTTATAGAAAATTCAATCAATGCTTCTATTTTGCAGTTTTCAATCACATACTCCAAAATGTGTATGGTGGATGATAGACTAGACACTAATGTTCTGTACTTCTTGTCTGTGCAAAATGCAAACTGCAAGACCATGAACCCAACTAAGCATATGTTTGGCATCCATGCTGCAGATACAGCACCATTTTCTCAGAAAAAGGTGCTGCTGATGTATGGGTTGGAAGCGCCATTTTCTCAGAAAGCGTTTTTTTTTTGTTTGAAACCGTTGCTGCCAGGTAGAACGTTTTCTGGAGCAACAGCAACTTTTTTTGTTTGATACCAATGCTTCAGGAAACGTTTTCAGCACTGGTATTATCCGGTGCCACATCACTGCCACCTCAGATCCCTGTTGGCAGCAATGAGCTGCAGCTCCAGGAAACGCACGATTCTGCATTGCTCCAAGCCATGCCTTCCTGATTTTTAAGGCGTGGCTTGGAACACCGTTTTCTATGGAAAAACGGTTCCAAACAAACGCCCGTTTCCTGAAGCACTGTTTTTTCCAATGTGGTGCTGATGTGGCACCGTTTTCTGGAGCAACGGCAATGATGCCAAACAGACGCTAAATGTGTCGTTTTAGTGCCACTTAATTGCCATGAACTCTCTCAACTATGGTCCTACATTAAATGCTATGAACAACTTCATCCAAGTTCTTTCAAACCACAATATAGTATTATCCAGAAAATATCTAGTATATGTTTGGCATCGATGCTGCAGATACAGCACTGTTTTCTAATGAGAAAACGGTGCTGCTGATGTGTTTTTTTCGTTTGGAAACGTTGCTGCCAGGTAGGACGTTTCCTGGAGCAACAACAACATTTTATGTTATTGGTACCAATGCTCTATCCAGTGCCACGTCATGTCCCTATCACTGCCACCTCATGCCCCTATTGGCAGCAATGAGCTGCAGTTCCAGGAAATACCAAATTCGGCATCACTCCAAGCCATGTGTTCCCGATTTCTAAAGCGTGGCTTGGAATACCATTTTTTAATGAAAAAACGATTCCAAACAAACATGTGTTTCCTGGAGTACCGTTTTCTTTGATATGATACTGATGTGTCGCCGTTTTCTGGAGCAACGGCATCAATGCCAAACAGACGCCTAAGGTGCCCATCTAGGTTGAGCGTCACAAGTATTCAGTGTTTGTTTATCTGGTTCAGAAAGATACCATAAAAGAACCACTCCATTGTTTTTGTTGAGGGACGGTAGATCTTGGTCCATCCTTTCCTCTGTATTGATTTAATAAAACAATGTCCTATGCTTATATGGTTTAATATTTCTGAAACTGATCAAGTATAAGAAGACACTCATTAAGTTGGTTATTAGCAATAGACTTTCTTTGAAGATATTGCATTTATATATGAATCAATGTGAAAATTACATCAGCACCCACGACACCCAAGGTACTGTACAATGGAATTATATACAACAAGAAACTTGCAAAAAGATTAATCGTAAGCAAAGAGACTATCAACATCCGAATGTTGTATGGAACCTCCTCAAATGCTTGTGTACTGACAACAACGAATAAAGAATACTTTTGGTTCTCCTTGATAGCACTTCCTCGATAGTGACTGTTTTCAAATATACGTGCTTTCCTTTCACCCCATATCGACTAAAATACAACTAATGGGTCATATCCCAGAACCCAGATTACTTTTCCTCAGCTCCTTCAAATACCATCCAAGAAAGGAAGCTTCCACTGTTTCTAAGAAGCAACATTCCACACCAAAAATCTCCAGGAACTTGGCCCACAACTTGGGGTGATTTGATGATTCTGTACCTTCAGCTTTAAATACTTCTTTAAAGCTGCCTTCCATGCTGAAATGAAACTAAAATTTAATAGCGGCAATGATCAGGATTATTTACAGAGTTTTCATTTCTGTACTCCAAATTCCAGGCTTCTAGCTCTCAAAGCAGTGCTGTAACTCTCATAGAACTGCATTAAATGGATAAGTAATCAGTTCTTCTGCATGATACTATGATTGTCAAAATAATAAGGCTAAAATGTAAGTTAATAGTATGGATCAAATGATGTGTTTATTTCAGATTTGGTGTATCAACAAGTGTTACACAACTTATTTCAAGCAGATCCAGACTCTTTTCTGAGACCTATAGTAGACCAAATTTGATGGTAGGGCTAACTGATAGTGATCCAGTCCTAGAACTAGGTTTTTAAATGGCAAGTCACCCAAAATGTAAAGTGTAAACCTGCTCAAAGACTTATTAAACTATCATAAAAATGGGTATTGCACTATTAAAATTTTAAGGTTTTAGGTTTATATTGACATAAGGGGCCATTACTTGGTGTAATGGTAAAACCTTTGGCTTGCAAGCATGAGAATGCGAGTTCAATTCTGAGAGTGGCCACTTTGTGCAAAACAAATGCCAAAGGTTAGGACCGTACCCAGTCTACCTCTCCCAGGACCCTGGATAGCTGGGACTGACATTTGGTAATGGCCATTTTTAGGTTTATATTGACATAAAACAGGTTCAAATTTTAAAGCATGTTTTATAAGCTGTTTCTATTTTTTGGATTTTATTCCCTTTGGGTGGTTTGAGCAAATGACTGCCAATAAGACTGGTGAACCATGATCCTGTAGCCTCAGTGGGTTGATGTCCAGTCCTGAGGGTTGCAGAATTCTGGTTAATGGTTACAAGTTAGAATATCAACAGTACTCCACAAACAAGAAACCGAATGCAAATAGTAACTGTAACAAGCATAGTTTCTGAGAATCATGATTCAATAAGCAAATGAAAACTATCTCAGTAATGAAACTGATTGACTAAAATCTTTCTTTTCATTTTTTTTCTTTATTTCTACTTTGAATCTATGATAACAAGCATCAGATTATGTTCCCAGTAAAGAATGCTGGCCACCTCAAATTGTTCATAAACATGTAGATAATAATAAGGTCAGGGTATTACCTTGTCAAACTCAAGTGTATCTCCCCGTGCTTTCTTCATTTCAACTACAAATAGTGAAGGCGAGACCTCAAAGACCTAGAAATAAATCGCTAGTGTTATTACTAGGCAAAAAATTGGTATCACTAGTAAGATATTTATTGTCCGTTTGGTTTGTAGTCGGAATCGGAATCGGAATGGTCTATTCCCATAGTCTGTTTGGTTCAAATAGGAATGGGAATGGGAATTAAAATCAGCAGGAATGGGATTTCATTCCCAAGGGGCAGGGAATGGCCATTCCCTCAAATGGGGGAATGCCATTCCAGCAGGAATTGGAATGGGATTCGGATTCCACCCAACCAAACAGTTGGAATCGGAATAGCCCATTCCGAGACCCCTATTCCTGTGAACCAAACAGGGCCTTAGAATGCCTCCCCAATTCATGCGAATTAGAAGAGTAACTGTAGCTTTGCAGTTGATAAATATATCAGACAGTTGCAAAAATATTTGCCTCAAATTACAATGAATTCCAAGATATTAGGTATTTTGATATTAGTTGATAGAGATGGTGGTTAATAAATAAAAAAAAGACACTCTAAATTTTCTAAAAGTAGAAATTTTGAATGAACATTATTTGGGATATTACCTAGATATTAACTACTTAAAGATATTTGATCTTACTAATCATGAAAGGCCAACTTTTCATTGAAGAGACAATCACTTTTTTTATCTGAAGGAATTAACATGAATCTGGACTATTTAAGAGGTTCTACAATGATAACCATTTAAGAAGATCCTCCACCTACCTCTGTGCAGATGGAGAGAAGGCCTCTTTGACCCATGTCACATCCTTCCAACTGCATCTGCAAGCGTCAGACATAGAACATTAGAGTAGTTCAGATAAAGTGCAATATATAGCTTAGAGCTGTTTCTCTAGCTGAATGGAAAATATTTTTTTGGTAGGCTAATCCAAATATAACTGCTAGACATAAACCCACCCACACAATCTGGAGTCTTGTGCCCTTGACTGACTGACAGATAGATATAATCTACAGTGCTTCATAAGGCATGAGATATGAGCCTTAATGGATTAATCCAAATGTGCATACCTTCTTCATAAATAAATAACAAAAGAGAAATTGTAAAAGAAACGAAAGAAAACATGCATTTGTTGTATAAATATATTTTGGAAAAAGTTTCTATGATTACACAAATATTTGTAAACCTCTTTTGGCATTTGTTCACTTAAAAAAGTTAATATGTTTATCCTAGTTGTATTAAAGTTACTGTTTTTCTTTAGTTTTAAGTTTCTTTATTGTCTTTAAAGTGTATACCTCAGTCACTCAGTGTTGATGTTTGTACGAAGGGCATGTATTATGTGCAATATTCACCTCAGTCCACATCTTGTTCAAGATTAATAACATTACATAGAACTATATACTAGCACCTAAGTGTGATCCAAGTTACACTTTTAAATTGCCAAAAAAAAAGTTGCACTTTTAAATTGGACAATAAAATCCATTCAGAATATATGAACACTGAAAAATCCAATTTCAAAATGCATGTTTCAGCTCTTATGCTTTGGAAACTTTTGCACTCACCATGTAATCAAGTCTCTTGACATTAAAACCTAGTGGCTTTGCGCTCTCCTCCATTTTTTCCATGATTTCTGATGCCGAGCATCTCAGGGCGAATCTCATCTCTCGCTTTCCACCCTAAAATGATGCAGAAAATTAATTTAGCAGTGTAGTGAAGACATTCACCATTGCCTAGGTAACTTAGCCTTTTTAGTTGAGGCATTGAATTGGCAATAACAACTAAGTTATGTTACTCAAGCAGAGACCTACCAAAATTTCTCACTATTTTCAATGAAATACCATAAAAATCCCATACTGGTCATTTCTAATTGATGCCATAACATCAAAGCAGCAAAAAAGCACCTGTTCCTTTTCAAAAAGGCCAGAGAGATTAAGCCCTTCTGATAGTGAGATTATGTCGAAAGCATTCAAGACTGATGGTTTCCGCTTTTTTGGTTCCTTTTGCTCTGATGCTATGTCATCCTGGTACATAAAAGCAGGTCATGCTTCATCAGATTCTTGTTTCTGAATGAACAGCTGAACAATTAGAGACATGCTATTTTGGTTGGAAATTTAGGATGAAACCAATCTCACATAAACAAAAAAAATATTACATCCTTATCTTTAGTTATTTGTAACCTTGCATTACCTAACTAACAACTTAGATAATCCAACAGTGGTTACAAGAAACAGTATAATAGCAGATTGATTACAAAATGTTGATTTAAACTGAAGACAGTTCATTACCCGTCTGGTGTGATTAAGCCCTAAGTCTTCAAAACATTCGAAGTCCAACTTAATCTTCATGGAGATTCCTTTTTCTTTCTGAAAACCATCAAGATGGTTGTTGTTCATAGATCAGATTGCATTAAGCTAATCCTAGCAGATGAAATACAATATAGCCCCTGCTATTTTATAGGCTTTGATCCATATAACTACATAACAATATTCTTAAAATGCAGGCATGAAGTTAGGTGCTAGGATCTACTAATGCATGAGACGTAAGCCTTGTCAGTCATTATTTCAAGAAAGAACATGAACTAAGATGAGAGGTAAAGTGTAGAATTGTGCAATATAAGGGCTACAATTTTATAGAATAATGTATGAATGAATTACTCATAATATGATAAAGGAATACCAAGTAATATTTTTCTTAAAACTATTTCTAGGCAATTAGAAAGCTCTTGATACAAATGAAAAGTTCATAGGGGTTTTGGAAACCTTAATTATTTATACAACTAAAAATGCAGATCGGGAAATTTTTGCTCATTTCATTTTTGTGATGAGAACCGGACTTCATTCAATTAATGTATTCAAAACATGATATTGACATAAAACACCTAAAAGTGTGACTAATGTGCATTATACTTCTAGGCATGAACCTCAAGGTTGATCCTTGGGATATTTTCCTTATGCTTCGCCTTGAAGTAAGACCTACATGCCTTCTAAAACATTGCTTCATAATATAACAAGTGAATTGAAACTTGTTTTTTGTAAATGGGCTGAGGACAGTATCTAATAGCAAATGTGATGATTCAAATCAAATTAAGACAAAATACATAATGAGAACTACCAACAGTTTGAGCCAATAGAATCATCCAAATTAAGGGCATGGCTAAAGCTAATAGGCAGAATAGATTCATGTCCAGTGATTACATTTATTAGATATATGTACAGAAAGCCTAAAAGATACTTACACTTGAATTGCTGAAGAGTAAATCAGTTTCACTTGAGACCACAGCCTTCTGATCCTCAAATCTGACAGGTTTGTAACCTTTCTTGAACCATGAGCACTCCAACACATGGGAGATGGAAATCCTCTAAAAGAAGAGAATAGAGAATTTTCAGAATCCATTTAAACAAAGAGACACTTGATTAAATAGGCCTATCATATGAGGTGTTGAAAAGAAATTGGCACACATGTCTGGACAAGGAGAGCTCGTCAACAGCTCAGACCACCTAGAAGAAAGTAACCGTTTAACCTGATGCCAGGAAACAAATGAACTATATTTCTCTAGAAAGTTAGCCAAAGTGGGTGATAATCTTTAGTATTAGTTCTGACAAAAAATATGCTCATTGCAGGTCATGGAGCCTCTAAGGCCACTGTGCACCTAAAATCTTATTTAATTAATCAAAAGGGAGATGGGAAATAAGAAAATTTAAAAATAGGAACAAAGGAAAATGAGCAACACATTTTTTTAATAGGTAGAAAAGAAACAAAGGGTTGTGTGAGGTTATACCTTCTCTGGGTCTGGCTCAAGAATTCTATTAATCAACATTCGAGCTTCCGAAGAAAACCAATAAGGACAAGTGAAATCTGCCTTGCATATCTGCAGAAAATAAAGTAATGAGTCAACAATATGTCCAAAATGATTCCTAATGTTAACATTGACCCTTATAACCTAAATATACTTGGCATGAGCTTATGATCCAGAGACCTTAAAATTCAGTAAGGGGGCTTCAATGATTTCCAAGTAGCTTAAGAAAATAGCCCTCCATATCAATCTATTTATCGTTATATGTTAGCCATTGAAGTCGCTTCTTTATCTTATCTTAAGTAGATGCATAAGTCTATATTTAAATTCTATGTACCTTGCTTCAGTGAATAAAAAGAAAAACAAAGCATCATCTCCTACACGAGGAGAAACATTTCTGAGCATGGAAGTCATCCTTTTTCTCCTAAAAGTGAGGCATACAGTGAGGTTTGGGGCTAATCATTTGATGATTCTACCATGAAAACCTACTTTTCCTTGTTAGTTAGCTTCAATTTACCAAATGACTGAAAAAGAAAAAAGGAAGATATTGACAAAGCTAGTAAATAATGGTTAAATTCAAATAGAAGACAACTGACAAAGTTTCGTAGGACACTACTACTGTTTCAGGGCTCCAATCATTGAAACAATATCAGGGTGTTGTATCAGGATTTTTGTCCCCTGATTTCTTAGGACTATATTCTATTAAGCTAGAACTTGGTAAGCACACCATCAACCTTTACAGATCATGGATTGTCACCTTATTATAGAGGTTTGAAAGACTTGGCTCATCAAATGGAAGATATCCAGCCATAAGAACAAAAAGCACAACTCCACACGACCACAGGTCAGCCTTGGCTCCATCATATCCCCTGTCATCTATTACCTGCTTAATTAAAAAAAAAAAGTGGGTTATATTTCCTTCCCTCTAATGATTAGCCAAGTAAATTCCAATGTTAAAAGAAGAGTACCTCTGGAGCAACATAATTTGGAGTGCCACAAGTCGTGTACAATAGTCCGTCTTCCTGATATTTTGTGAACATATCAATGTAAAGTTCTCAATAACAAAAACAACCACATTGCTTTCCAGTAATTTGTTATGTTCTTGGGGAATCTACAGTGAAGTGTGTGAAACATCTCTTTTTAGTGTGTTATATGTAAAAAGTAAGGTAACCATCTCCACTTTGGAGTTTGGACACTTTTGCACCATGGGAATTGACTTCTCAAAGCAATGTTATTTGAAGATGCAATTACATGATATCATGCTTGAGGGCAGAACTGTCTATAATCTTGCATAATATATGTAAACCAGAAGCAAACATGATTTACCATTTTTCAGAATTAAAAAAAAAAACATTGATTGCATACCCTTATTTGCTGAGGTGAAGCACTTAGACCAAAATCAGAGATCTTCAAATTGCAGTCCTCATCGAGTAGGAGGTTTTCCAACTGCAGAAAAATTACATGGGTTGGTACATCCTTTTCTTTTAGGACAAAAGGTATAAACTAAAAAACAAAAGGAAAGGGGCCAGGACGCCCAATTACAAGGCCTGATAATATACAGAAAAGGCTTGAATAACATTAACTAGCTCAGAAAATGATAAAGCTAATAGGAGATTCAGTAACTCTATATAATTACTTGGATCACTAGATTCTTATGAGAGAAAGACAACCTTATTAGGAAAATTGGAAGCCACAAGAAGGCAATTACATTAACTCCAGGATCTGTAGAAAGTGCGAGAGAATGCAATGTGGTGAGTTAAATGGGTGAAGCATCCAGCCCAGCATTTACTGGAACAGGTCCAATGTGACCCTTACTGTGGTGGCAGGGTTTAGTTTCCAGATCATGAACCTGTGTTGGATTTGGATGGTGTCAGATTTTACTAAGCCAACCAGTCAGGCCATTATATCCACTATCCAGTTAATAGGACAAAAATGAATTGAGTGGGTTTCATATTGTTGATCCTTTCATTTATTGTCTCTCCTGTCTTAGTCATCCATGTTCTTGCTAAAAATCCACATGCCTGTCTGGTTAGAGCCAGGTTTAGGTTTATCAGGATCATAGTTGGTTTCACCCCAACCTCTAATGAAGCAGATCCATTACCATTTCCTAGAAAGGGATCCCAGAACATACACAGCTCAAAAAAGCTATTTCTTTGGGAGAGGGGAGAGTAACTATGGGATATTGGTCCATACCTTTAAATCTCTATGGTAGACTCCCTTACTGTGGCAATAATCAACAGCACTAATAAGTTGTTGGAAGTATTTCCTGGCTTCATCTTCTCTTAGTTTGCCCTGCTTGGACTGCATCCATCAAAATAACCACCTTGTTAGCAATGTTAAAGCTTCTTCAATGTGGGCAATGTGACAAACGATAGATTCTTCTTTAAATTGACTCAAATTAACTAGGAGAAGGAATGCCAAACTCAAATATGTTTAGGGTCTAAACCATCTTTAGAGAATATTTAGGCAAAGATATACAGATGGAAGGATATCCAGACAGGTTAATAAACATTCATGGGAACACAAAGAAAAATAAATATTGGAGCTATAAAGTTTGTAAATCATATATGTGCCACATTTGCAGTCAAGGAAATGACTATAATTGTACATAATTTTGTTTTTCCATTCTCTCCAACTTCATGTTCATTCTTTTATCATCATCATCATCATCCATCAGTCATATATGAGAACAGGTCCGCTAGTAAGGTCATTTAGATAAGGAATCTCAAATGGTACAGGAGTCTTCTGCATGGCATGTATGATGTATTGTACAGCAAATGTACATGTTGAAAAGTTGATATTTTGGAAGTGTGAAGGTGATAAAAATAACAAGGCACCCTGCTATATCATTTTTTGACCCTACAAAAACAATGCTTTCTTTCTTTCTTTTTCTGTTTTCTTTTTAGTGATGAATTATCTAATTAATAAGAACATCTTTTTAGATGTCCTAGGCTTTTTTTCGGTAGGTCCTATGACTTGGGTTTATGAACTATTAGTTCCTTCTTTTTATTGATTATTATGTTATCCATGTAAATGGCACATTCAAAATACATGTGGTAGGTAACTGTTTTCAATAACAGAGGCTATTAATGTTCTAACGTTACACTCTTGATTAGTTTTCTGAAGTCAAAATATCACATTACGCTTTCTCTAAAAATTTATAACGGAGTAAATTTCCACACTATGTTCGGTAATAACAAGTCAATTAATACCAATTAATAAATTAAAACTGAAACCACCCTAATTTTGACTGATTGAAACAAAGAAAATAAAAACCATCGAAAGGGTTAAAAATCAGACAAATTCATTCTAAGAAGGTAATCAAAAGGAAAAGTCATGTGAGATTTACTGTTGGTTTACTTGTAGTATACAAGACAATAGAAGATGTTGGGTTTTTATCTTGGGAATTTATTCATGAATAAAGAGAATTGTACGTAAATCGATCAATCAATAAATATAAATAAAAAGATTGCAGCACCCTTATGAGTCTGACTTACAACTTTGGTGAGAAGTTCTCCCCCTGTGACGTACTCCATAACGAAGTATATCTTCGTTTTGCTAGCCATCACCTGCAAATATATCCATCAGAAGATATAAAAAAAAACGTAGAGGTTATTAGGTAAATCAATCTGAAAAAGGCAATTCAAAGTGAGAGAAGAAAAATGAAAAGAATCAAAAGGAAAACTAACCTCAAAAAGATGAACGACATTAGGGTGTCTCACTAATTTCATAATAGAAATCTCCCTTTTGATCTGAAAAAGGAAAGCAACAGTTATTCAAAGCAACCCAAAGCGAACCAACAGGGAACTAGAAGTAATTACCATATAAACCCACTACCGGTTCCGACTAACAAAACAGAGACAGAAAGAGGTACTAGAGCTAACCTGATCAGTCATCTTCTCCTTCACCACTCGATCCTTGTTAAGAACCTTGATGGCTCGCTTCTCCCCAGTCTCTACATCCCTGGCCAAATAGACTTTTCCGAACGACCCTCGCCCAAGAACACTTCCAAACTCATACTTCCCGACTCGGTTGAGCTGCTTCATATTCAAACCCCCTGTTATTTCTCCTAACTAGAGCTCATTCTCAAGTCTTAACCCCCCCCCCTTTACAATATATAATATAACGTAGGTGTAGAAGAAGAAAACGATGAACGGAATCCCTGATGAGCTTATCCTCTCAATGCATTAATCACTGCTCACTGTAGGATCGTGAAAACGGTCAGGGGGGAGACCGTAGATTGGAGAGGCAACAGGAGAATACCAAACCATGTCTATGATGGCCAGAACGCTCTTGGAATTTGTGACATGAAAACTGGTTTAAGAATTAAGATCAAGAAGGTGTCTTTTTAAAAATTAAAAATAGAAAAAAAAGCGCCAAATTTGGATACGTGGTGTTCTCGGGACAACCCTGCCCACAACGCATCAAATCCATGAATACGTTTCTTATCCTTTTCATTGGACTGTGGAAACTAGAACGGAAAGATGAGAAAAAGAGGAAAAATAACTGTCGAAATGAACAAAACAAGGTATTAAGTGGGACCGTTGCAGGTTTTCTTGCTGACCCACCTCACCTCCCACCTGCATCGATCGACCTTTTGCCGGAGGAAGCTAACGGGAAGCTTCCAATTTTAAAAGACAGAAAAAAAAAGAAGAAAAATTAAAATGGAAAGAGGTGGCAGCTTGCTGATTGAACCAGTGAAATCCTCACCTACACGTATGATCAAGTTTATGTGGGTTTTGCTTATATGTTGATGCGGGCACGCAGAATTGAAGTATCTGTTTTTATCTAAATCCATGGCGTCTTCTTCAGTCACCTGCAGGCTTCTACTACTACACCATGTGGAGAAGAGATCCTTCGACTTCGAGGCGACGAGGAGGCCCTTCCCGACTTTCCTTTTTGTCTTGTAGGAATCGTTTATTTTGTTTCATTTGGAATACTACAACATGTGGCGGGAAACGTGCGATGTACGGACTTTTATTAAGTAACAAGAAGCTAAAGAATAGAAATATATAAGAATATATATAATTTTTTCGATTTTCAGTAATTTTTTAATCTGATTAATTACGACAGTTTTGGTTTGACCATTTGTAAATTGAATAAAACTGAACTGATACAATCATGGATATATATATTAATAGTTTATATTTTAAATTTTATATTTCTTAATCTAAAATATTTTATATTATAAATTTAATTTTTTTTAATTTATTTTTTAATAATATCATAGTAATTTATTAAATTTCATTTTAATTTTTAAGCTTAAATATTTTGAACAAACAAACCAAATCGAAAATAGACCCAAACCGATACAACTCGAGTTGATGGGTTTTCACTAATGGTCAGTCAATTTTGGATGACAGACCCCCGACCTAACCAAGTTGATTTGGTAGGCAAAACAACTTGCAGTCGAACTGAACCAATCCTTGAAAACTTCTAATTTCAGATAAATTAATAGTTTAATTTCTAACAATTATTAAAAATTTATAGCAAAAATATACAATTATTGGAAATAAATTTATAATGAAAATAATAAATACTGAAAATATATTAAATTAGTCAAAAAATAGTGTAATCTCAAATAATGGTTTAATCTCTAATAAATATTAATCAATAAATTATAAAAATAAATTTATAACAAAAATACAATAAATTAAATTTCAAAAGTTAAATAATAGTTGTTTAATCTCCAATAAGTATTGATAATTTTATGTTAAATAACAAAAAAATAGATTTATAAATTATTGAAAATATATTTATCAAAAATACAATAAATAATTAATGAAAATACAATAAATATTAATTTTAGTACATATAAATATATAATGAATATACACTATTATCGTAAAATTATTACTCAATAAATATTATTTTTTTAAAGTTATTTTTTATAATTATTAATTGATATAAGTGAAATTAGTTGTTTACAATATTATTTAGTTATTTAAATAATATTGTTATTTAATTTTTTAAAATATTAAYTATTTATTGAATTTAATAATCCATAAAATTATAATTAGTGCTATTAGTACATAATTCACTAATAATTTTGTTAAATTGTTACTAATATGAATATTATGAAATCTACTATAATCATTTTTCTACTTTTAAGAAAATTTTTAAATTTATTACATGACTTCGTTTTTTAACTATTTAAAATTTAGTCATGTTAAATATTTTGTAATTTAAATATTTAAGTAATGTGTAAAATATTTATAATTTTTCATTATTTGAATTTTGTTTATTTTAAAGTTATTAGGTAATATTAAGTATTTTGTTATATAATTATTTATCTATTTTTAATGTTTTGTTATTTAAGATATTTAGTTTTTGGAATATTTAAATAATGTTTTATTTTTTAATGTTAAAGTTTCCTTATTTTAATAACATTTAAATTGAATAATTCATAAAATTATAATTTATATTGTTACTACATAATTTCATGATAAATTTTGTAAAAATATAGAATTATTAATAATATGAATATTAAATCTATTATAATTAATTTTGTGTTTTGAATAAATATTTTAAAGCTAGTATGTAATTTTGTTAGAATATTTAAATAAATTTGAATCTTTTTTAATTGACACTATCTTTAAATAGCTGTAGATAAAAAGTGGGGGAAAGGATAAATAGGAATTAGAGATAGTTTAGAAGAGAATCTCTTTACTAAATTAGAGATAATTTAAGAGATAAATAGGAGTTAGAGATAATTTACGAGATAAATAGGAATTAGAGACAATTTAGGAAAAAGTGGGGGAAAGTGGTGCCACTTGGCTAAACATTAGAAAAGCAAATTACTCTTTCTTTATGATTGTTAAAAATAGTTAAGTCTATGGTTTAGGAAGGGGGTTTGGAGCAAGGGAGTTAGAGGTGCAGATTGATTAGGACCTAACTCAATCAAAGATTTTACATAGGTTGGGCTTGAGTTTTTAACTTCAAGCTAGGTTTAGGCCAAAAAACTCAAGCCTAACCTAAATTCAAGTTGGGCTTAGGTAGCCCAAGTCCAATTCAACCAATTTGAGCCTGCCCAACATTTTATGATATACATATCTACATATTATTAATATATTCTACCTAGAAATTGGACTACAAAGCTCAACACATCCAATCTCAAGCCCAACTCAAGATGTTGGGTTAGGCCTAGGTTTTTAAGAGAAAAATTACTGCTAATTTTCAATAATTACTGATAATTTACTAATACATAACAAAAATAGAATAACAATAATTACTGATAATTTACTAACTCAGGCCCGGGTTTACCAACTTGAGCCCAACCCGAACTTAACCTAACATCTTGGGTTGGACTTAGGCTTGGGTGTATTGAGCTTTATAGCCCAATTTCCAAGTATAACATATTGATAATATGTAGATATGTATATCATAATGTTGGCACAGACTCAAATTGGGTTGGGTCGAGCTTAAACTACCCGAGGTCTCAACCTAAACCCAACCTGAGTTTAGGTTAGCCTTAAGTTTTTTGGCCTAAACCCAGCTTGAAGTTCAAAAACTTAAGCCCTATTTGTGCAAAAGCTTGGGTTGAATTGGGTCGGGCTGAAGTTAGACCACCCAACCAAGGATTAAAGTATCGGTATCGGGTATCGTATCGGACCACTTAGATACAAATACGGATACGAATACGGATACAGATACACTTTGGAAACGCTTGGATACGGATGAAAAAATATAGATACGCTGAAATATGCATATAAATTCCATAAACATATTAATAACATTATTTTTAAGATCACATATTTTAAAAATTAATACATGCACAAAGCTATTATTATGTTATTTTCTATTGAATTTCAAGGCACAAAATATATGCAACTATTATATGTGAATTATTATATCAATTATTTTCTATTTTACTTTTTTTAATTTTTAATATTAACTAAAGTCAACTAAAAATTAATTCTCAAATGTTTAGTGAACAATGTTTTTATTTTTGTAAACATTAAACATGTTATTATAAAATGTAATTAAAATATAAATTAAAATTTTATAAAAATATATAATATTAACTTAAAATATATCAAATATATTAAATTTTCTAAGATACACATCATATGCAAATTCATAATTTTTAACTAGTAAAATAATTATTCCATTATTAATATTTTTATTTCCATAAATTTTGAGATAAAAAAATCATTTTTTGATATAAATGTAGATTAATAGATTTGACAAATTCAATTTATATTATATTCTCGAGGTTTTTGTAAATAATATTTTTATTTTTATAAAATATGTATACTTTTATTTAGTTCAAATTAAAATATTAATTAATAATTTATAAAATTTTAAGATACATGTCATGTTCAAATTTATAAATATTAAGTACTAAAATAATTATTCTATTATAAATATCTTTTTTCGTATAAATTCTTGAGATAAACAAATTTTTGATATAAATGTGGACTTAAGAAATTATTTATTCTATTAGTTTATAAAATATTAGTTTTGAATATTATTTTTTTATTTTGATGGAATTGTTAAACACGAATGTCATTTTTCCACATTACATGTGGACACTAGAGTAGAAAAAAGTTATTTTATTTCATCAAATTTCATAAGATGAAAAGTGGCCTAGTGGATTAAGTGCGTAGTTAAGGATTTAATGCTGGGTGATTTGTGATTGAATCACGCTAGGCACATTTTTTACAAAAAATGTGTGTGCACACAGGAAACACGGCAATTTGTATCAACCGTATCGGTGCGTACCGGTCGATACAACATGATATGGGCCGATACGAATGCGTATCATTCTAATACACGTGATTCAAGGGATACATGTTTAGTATCTCGTATCCCCTCTGATACTGATACGATACGCCCCATACCAGACGTATCTTATCGATACTTAAATCCTTGCACCCAACCCAAGGTACACCCCTAACTCCTTTTGCCTCAAATTCTTTTAACAAAACTCGTGCATTGCAAGGTCCCTGTTAGTAATTAACAACACTAATTTTAATTTATAGTTACTAATAGTAATATTAATTACTAAGAATAGTAATATTTTATGGTATTTTTTAATTATTCACAAAATAGTTAATAACTATTTTTAAAATTTTATAATTTATATTTAAAAACATATTAATAAATTTATAATTATAGTTAATAATTATTAATTATGAATTAATAAATTTTATAACTTTTAATTTATAAAAGTATTACTATTATTAACAATAATAATATTTAACTTAATAATCAATTTAATTATTCATGAAATAATTATTAATTTTTAGATTTTAATATTAATAAAATAATTAAATATTATTGGTAATTAATTAATTTTTTGGTAATATATCACTAATTAATTAATCATAAATTATTAATATACCACTAATATTAATTACTAAAAACAGTAATATATTTTGGTGTTAAATTTTCGCAATTTTTTTTTATAAATCATGGATATAATAATAGATTTTAAGTGAATTTTGGATCTGATTTGGATTTAATCCTAACAGGTATAAATAATATATCACTAAAACCTAAAATTTGAATGCAAATCCTATTAGTTTTGGATCTGATTTGGATTTAATCCAACTCCACTTTAATTATTAAAAAATGCCAAAAAATATAAAAACTTAATTACTTTTCAACTTTTTGAAATCTAATTGGATTTGAAGACTTCAAATTTGAATTCAAATCCTAACAAACTTAGATCGGATTTGGATTTAATCTG